TGGAGCTGGAGTGGATGATTCCTCCCATCACAGATTTGCTTGCATCCTGACGCACAGGTGTTAGCAGCATGAGGATGGATGTCATCATGTTCCGAAATTCATGGTCCCCAGAGGATCATTTCTACTGACATTGTCATCCCCTGGCATTCCCAATAGCGCCATGAGCAAGTTAAAGTGTCCCCTCATTCTGTTACATTTCTTCACTGTTAGTAGATGGGTTTTGTGCAAAACACATTCATGTTCTTCTTAGGATGAATTGCAATTGCTTTGGGGAGCCTCCGATGTTTCATAAAGCGCTATCATTAGATTCAAAGATTTTTAAGATAAAGACGACCTATTGCTATGCTTTGATATTTCTGAAAGGCCAGCAGGTATCGCAGGGGGTCAAAATAAAGAAAATAATAGATATATAATCAAGTATAATAGTTAAACTTTATATAGAAAATATTGTTTTAATATACTCAATTTAAAATCTAACAACATTTACACGCTTTACACCTTTGAGCCATCTTTCTTTTATTGTTTTTTCATTTCATACACGATGCCCATTTTCAACATCATAAATACTGTTACGGCTTTATGTGTTCCCTGTTCCTTTTCCCCTCCAGTTCCTCTTCCCTGGTGTGCTGCGTTGGTGCTACGAGGTTCAGATGAGCTGCACCTGGAGAAAAAAGAGGTCAAGAGGACTGCTGTGATTCTGCCTCTGTCCAGGATGGATATTTGTACACTATGTTTGATTATAATAAATGCTATGGATTTTATTATTTTAAAGGTGTCTTCTGTGTTCTATTTGGGTCAGTTGTGTCATTTTGTTAGCCCCATAGAGCCATTTTAAGGGTGGGGCATTAGAAATGCGGACTCGTCTGAGATTGAATGTCCATGAGGTGAGGTAAATGTGTAAGTATTTGTCTGTATCTAGTGGCCGTTGTTTGCTTTGTAGAGATTTGGTTTGAGTTAATGTGTGGTTATTGCTGTTTGTTTAGTTGGGCATTTGATTGTTTCACCAGCTAGCAATTTCAGTTTTGAGCACCCTGACTAGTCACCAGGCAGGTTGGAAGATCTTGCCACTTTTTTGTTTTGCCTTTCTTATTTTTGGTGGTAATCCTGTGTGGGAGTAAGCTTTAGTTTATTGCTGTAGGCTATATCTATGGTCTTTGGTGATATACTGAGTTCAGCGTTTAAAGTCGCCTCGAGCTTGGCAAGCCACTGAAGACTAGCTAGGCTAGGCTAGGTTAAAGTGGACCTATCATGCTATATTTGAATAATATAGTGTAGGACCATACCTATATAAGGCATATTTATACTTTTTTTTTTTCAAAATACCAAACAGATCATGCATTTTAGCCATGCCTCATTTTGCTCAATTTGACATTTTTTAGCTCTGTTTTTGCAAGGGCAGATTCTGTGAGAACAGCACCATCTACAGGCCTGGCATATGTACTACAGCGTCTCCAGCGCTTTCGAACGGCAATGGCCGTGGCTGTCTCCTCCTGATTGGTGGAGTTGGCCCAATAGCCGTAGTCAGGACAGTGTTCAAATCTGGATCAGTTTTTATCAGATCCGTTGCAGCCCCTTTTTTAGAGATTTGGGTATGGAGGAAAATAGAGAGGGTTGTGTTTTCTGACACTTGGTGAGTTCCCTGGAACACCGGGGACACATATTCATGTATAAAAGACGTACAAAAGTGCATTTTGCATGATAGGTCCCCTTTAAGTTAGTAATCTCCACCAGCAGCTCAGGGTTGGGGTGCCTCACTACTGCTTGTATTCACAGTTTTTACACAGCAACTTGTGACTCTTCTTTTTTTGGGCCATTCTGTGTAGCTATAATAACTGTACGTTCAGTAACTTGTGGTTTGTCACATTTTTAGGTGGTGATAACTGCACTCCATATTTGTTGGGTCACTTTCGGATTGCTGCTTAGGTGTAAGTGGGCAAAATGTGTGTGTAGTTTACTACAGTGTGACCATGTGTGTTGTGGTTGTTGCAGTCCACTTTTTGGTGGTCACATGGGTGTTGTGGCTGCCATGTATTTAATTGTAGCAAATTAGTAGTTGCTAATGCCTGGTTCGTCAAGTGAGCTTGTGTTGCTGGTTTCCTGCATCCATCAGTAACTTGTGTATGTGGTCGGAAGATCACATGGTGACCATTTTTGTGTTGTGGAGTGGCAGTTCACTTTTGTTGGATCATAGTGTGTTGCTATTAGTGAATGGCAGCAACTTTGTAGTTGGTCTACTTGTGGTGATCCTTTTGTTTTGTGGCTGTGCACTCCACACTATGTTGGACATGTGTGTTACGGTTTGTGTCGGTAAACGCAGTAACTTGGTTGGCTTTGTAGTTTGTTTGTCACCTCATGGTGGTAGTCATTTTGTTTAATTGATTTGGCTACTTGTGTGGTCGCTGCTTATTCTATGTGGCAGCATCTTAGTTAGTAAATCTTGTTGTTCCACATTTGACCCAGGTTGACACTTTTTGTCAGTAGTCCTAAATAGTTGTCTGATCTTATGCACATTTGTTTTCATATTGATATATTAAGCCTAGTGTGCTTATGTGTGTTTGGCTGCCTTACATACAGCCTTAAACATTCAGTGAAATTACACATACATGTTAATGAATAGAATAGTACGGTGTTAGTTTTCTATTTATTCATTGTTTTAAGAGTGGGGGTATTACGGCTGTATGTGTTCCTTTTTCCCTGTAGTTCGTCAGGTGTGCTGCGTTGCTGCAACTTAGTTCAGATGAGGTGCACCTGGAGAAGGAAGAGGTTAAAAGCTCCAGTTCAGCAGCAGAAGAGAGGCCTCTGGCGGGGGGGAGGACTGTGGATCTGCCTCTGTCCAGGATGGATATTTGTACACTATATTTGATTATAATAAATTCTATGGATTTGATTATTTGTGTTCTATTTGGGTCAGTGGTGGAATTTTGTTAGCATCATAGGGCCATTTTAAGGGTGGGGTGTAACAAATACTCTTCACCAGACCACCAGCAAGACAACAGTTCAGTGTCATATATTACATACTGCATATATTACTGCCTGTGTCCCTCAATATAACAGGAGAGTGTTGTTTTTTCTTTCTTTAATGAAGCTCCACAGTTGTGTTCCAGCAAGACAATATTCATTCAATGTTACACAATAGTAATTGGAAACATGATGGAGGCTTTGGCTGAGATATTGTACTGTTGTGGTTTAAAGGGTTATTACACCATCTGCTGGTGACAGCTATCGGACAGCAGTCAGATGGCTCAGCATCATTTTGTAGTTTTATTAGACAAAGAATTTGATAAAAACTCAATTATATGTTATGTTTACTTTCATTTCAAATGTTCTTTAATTTTACTGACATTAATTTCTCTAATAACTATGAGTAATATCTCTACCTTCTCTTTTCATTTTGGTTGCTGTTTCTGAACATGTGGATGGATTATAAAAAGATTGGGCTCTGGGCAGTCTCTGATCATTTAAAAAAAAAATGTTGTGTGAACATTTGCCGGTCAACCAGTACTTTAAAGTTCATTCAAAATTCTATTGGACTTATGGTGGAGATGAAGAGGCAGTGTAAAGTCCTTTCTCTGTCCAGACATTATACAAGGTATGTCACAGAGAAAATATACAGAAAACCACTGGTGCACATAATATGTTCTAAAAGCAGAGCCACTATGATACAGAATCACTCACATTTGGATTCATGGACGAATTATTGAACCGCCCTTCCAGACCCAGTGGCCCAAAGTATCAGTGGAAAACTGTGAAAACACTGAATTGGCCATAAACCATTATTTAAGTTGTATGAAAAAAAAATGTCTACAGTACCTCTAAGTTTAGAAAAATACACTGCATTCAAGAGAAAAACGCCTCTCAAAAAAGAAATGTAAATTACACATATTTTTCTTAAAGGAAAAAAGGTTAGAGAGCACAGACACCTTGATCTTTTAGATCTTTTTATTACAGTAAAAACCTTTTACAAAATGATTATGAGGAAAAGCAGAGCTAAATGATATTTTCATGTTTGGTAAATAATTGTAAAAAATATTCCTCATGTTACAGCTTCAGTCTTCAGGGCTAAATATATCTGATAGTAATATACTGATGGATATCTTACGTTTTTATTATGGCTACAATTTATTTTGGAAAGTACCACAGAAATATTGTAAAAAGACATTAGCAGACCTGCAATTTGGGCAAGATATAAAGCTGTCACCATCTTTTCTTAAGCAATTATTTCCAGTTTAAACACAAACTGGATTATCTACCATACCTTTCGTCACCGAAAACATTCAACATCGATAAACAAACAACCAAATTAGCTTGATTTAAAAAATAATAAACATTTTGACAAAGATACAATTGCAGGAAACCGCTTACAAACATGGATTAAATGTTTTATTCTGCACCTTCAATATATTTCCATGGTGAACACTTTGCAGTAATAAAAACTGAGTTGGCAGTGGTGCAAATCAGCTTCACACTGACCTCCAGCATCAGACTCTTTAAACTAGACTACAACACACAAAGCCTTAATAAATCATATTCTTTGGTTTAACTTTTAGTGTGCTGATATTTAATACGACTGATTGAATCGCATGTGGTTACAGATACACACACTACCGTTTATGACGTTAAGGCATCCACCATCCTTCTTAAAGGGGCCTTATTATTCTCAATGTCAGGTTCATAATTGTATTTTGTGCCTCTACTGTGACATGTCTCCATACTTTAATGTTCAAAAAGCTCTTTATTTTTCTCATACTGCTTGTGCTGCAGCACCTCTTTTCACCCTCTGTCTGAAACCAGAGCCCAGTCTGCTCTGATTGGTTAGCTGGCCGGCTCTGTTGTGATTGGTCAACTTAGCTTAGAGATGTCCCACCCTTAGCCTATCCCGTACAATGTGTTGGAGCGCTTACCAATAGAAGCGCAAGTGTTACGTAGTGACGTCACTATGTTACAGAAGTCAACAAAGGAGTCCAGTGGAGGTGTTTCAGGCAGGGGGGGAGTGTTGGAGAGAAACTTTGGGATTTTAGCCTTTGCAGACCATTTACATGCACAGAAACCTATATCACACACTACAGGAAAGGGATAATAGGGCCGCTCTAATGGTTTAAATGTAACTGTAGATGAAAAGATGATGAGCGATTAAAAACAGTAATTGCATATCCACGGAAAAAGAAAGATATGGTCAGATATTATGTGTACAATTACACACAAAAAAATCAGTTTGGAAACCTTCAAACACCAAAATAATGACTTGAAGATTGATCCCACAGAGGGGACAAGCTACCGGACTGTATAAAATATGTTTGCTTCACATAAAAACATTACTAGTTCTTGACTGGCTTGCATAAAACCTCATCATCTTCCATCGAACATTCTTGTCATCGCTGTTTCTGCATTGCAATATACAGGAATTTTATTTTCAGTAAGCTGAAGAGAAAAAGATGGAGGAAAGTAATTAGAAATACTGCTTACTACCAAGTTGATTGCCACATACACTGCAGCAAGCTAGTTCGTTAGTAAAATAATGACTTGTAATGATATGGAGTATCTGATACGTAAAATCAAAATGACTTATACGTCACGTTTAAAGGGACCTGCAGTTTGTAGGATTTAGCAGTATCAAGCATTGCAGCCAACTGAATGTAGATGTGCTTATCCTAAGATCACATACACACAACCAATCTTGGTCTAAAGAGGATTTACATTAATGAAATTAATATTATACATATTTATTTCTGCTAAAAGATCCTAATAAATACGACACACTGGCCCTTTAACAGAGTTACATGCGTTTGGCTCTGAATGCAGAATGCCAAGACTGCACTGAAGATGCTGAACTACTGGACTTGAGGAATCGATTGAAATATCACCAATATAACTTTGTGTACAGTACGATAAACCTCTTAAATGCAGACAGAGAAGGTTGATTGAAGTAAACAATTATAAACCTGCAGATTTTTTAAACTTTTGCCGTCACTGAGAATATGAACTTTGTCTACGAAACATTCATGATCATTCAAACATTCAGTTATCTCCCACTGCCAAAGTGCAAAAATCTTTAAAGAGAAAACAATAAAATGCTTTAAAAAAGACACCAAAAATAAAAATAACAAATAATTGTATACAAAAATGGCTTTGCTGGTTGTTTCCTCTGCACAAAGCCCTGCTGTGCATCTAGACTCCCGAGGTAAAGGAAATCTGTAAACATGATGACACTTGTCCTTTTCTTGAAGCCAAAAGGTTTCCCCTGGTTTCTGTGGTTGTTCCTATCTGTGAGTGAATCACCCTGTAGCTGTTTCCATTGTCCTCTCATTTGATGGCTATGCATGAGGCATGTTGAACATGAACACTCATGATCTAAAGAAAGGGATCCATCGACACACTTTGCTGTAGTTCCCTTTGATAAAAGTGTTACAAAATAAAATGCACGGTCATTTCAAAACCTTGTCTTGGATGACCGTGCAGATAATATGATGTTTTCCGGAAAGCCCAAGCAAGTTCTTCATTGAACAAATGGAAGCTTTTAAAACACCAGTTGCTGTCCAGGTGACATCATTCCTCCTCCCAGATCTTAAAGTGAACCCTCTCTCTGTCAGAGGGAAGGGTCAGTGATAGTTCTGTACATCTGCAGCGACGTAACTTCCACATCCGGGACCTTGGCGTTCTGCGGCCGTCCCGTCGGGCTGTATCCCGCCGATCGGCCCATGGGACTGAAGCCCGTGGTGGTGCGGCCTGCGTTGGTCAAACCTGAGGATCGGGACAAAGCGGGACGCCGCAGGAAGCGCCCCGAGGTCACCAGGTCCCCGTAGCCCTGCGCGTGGGAGAAGGCGTAGCCTGAGCGGCGGGAGCTGGTGCGCCGGATTCGGGTGCGTCGAGGCGGGGGGGCGGGTGTGGCTTTGGCCTGTCTCACCTTGAACATCATCTGAGAGTTTGGGGCAGATTGTTAAAAGGCTGGCTCACTTATCCAAAACATGTGCTTACTTATTTCGAGATTCATTTGGGGAAATGATGAGTCTTCAAGGACCAAGATGTTTGATGTGGCTATAATCACTATGTTGTGCTAGATATTTTTATAGCAGTTAGAACATTTTACATACTGGTTTTGATGAGAAGCAGAGCTAAATAAGTTTGTCATGTTTGAGAAATATCCCTCATCTTACAGCTTGATTGTTGGCTAAATAATTATTGGAACCCATCTTGTTAACTTAAATACTATGAACCCTGCACATCACTCTGTATACTTTGTACATTTATGTTCAAGGCAATTTCTTTTTAAATCTGCACAGCTCCCAATTTAAATTTCGATTGCTGCATATATTTTTATTTTTCAAGTATTTTGTCATGATTTACTAGCTTTGTAATTTTAAAATCGTTTTTAAGATCGTTTCTATAAAAGTTCTGGCTACTTTTCATTTTCTCTGTGTGTGTGTGTGTGTGTGTGTGTGTGTGTGTGTGTGTGTGTGTGTGTGTGTGTGTGTGTGTGTGTGTGTGTGTGTGTGTGTGTGTGTGTGTGTGTGTGTGTGTGTGTGGGTGTGTGTGTGTGTGTGTGGGTGGGTGTGTGTGTGTGTGTGTGTGTGTGTGTGAATGATAATGATAATGATGATAGCCTCCAGCAAACCTCCAGAGGATTTCTTCAAAAATATTAAAAGGAAGCTGAGACCTAAAATCAATTTATATTAAAAAAAAAACGCATAATTTAACTCTTAGCATGCCTGGAGGGTTAAGTGTAGCTTCATGTGTACCTTGTCGTTGATGGTGGGGCAGAGCTGAATAAACAGGAAGCGGTATGTGACCACAGGAAGGACACACAGGATGGAGGTGAGGAGGATCGTCAGCCAAATATTGGGCTGGTTCAAAGAGTTACGGGCTGTTCCTGGATAAACACACATAATACGATTTGTAAATGTTTCTATGTTTTCCAAATGTCAGTTTAAAAAAAAAATGCACTTATAACCTTTACTTTCTGGATAGAAGTAATATTAAACGAGGGGAAAAATATAAATTTTAACTGTTCAACAGACAAGATTAACAATAAAACATTTAATTCCTGAGATATAATATCATTTTCTATTGTTGAAGAGAAGTTCAGGCAACTTCCACAAACAAACATCACTCGAGTTGGACATTGTTTGAAATGTTAACTGCCAAATTTCATGTCAAGATTTAAAGGATACTTTTTGACAACGATGCAAGTAATGTTTTTCTGAAAAAAAGGAAAAACTGACCTTGGTGACCTTGTTGACACAAGGGTGCGGAGAATTTGATTATCTAAAAAAATAAACTTTATTTTGGATAATCACACATCAGTGATCAGAGCCAGTTTTGGTAGACACTGTGTTTGCAAGTATAATCAAACTCATTTGAATTATACTGGCAACCTTTCTCTGTCAGAGGCTTATAAAATATAAGCAAAGCATTACTCGCTAACCAAGACGAATGTTGGAAACGTACATAAGACTTTCTTTAAATTCAATTATCTTGTAAGTTAATGAATTGCCCACTCACCGATAAAAGGGAAGGCTGACGGAGACATGAGGAACATGCTGTTACTGTACATGGTGAACGTGACAACAAAGTACATGACCAGACTGCCCAACACGAAGAAAGTGTTCACCGCCGTCCAGTAAGACATCTCCAAACCCAACTATGAACACGGAGAGAAAACACAACATATGAGTCATTTGTTTAAAGGTCCCCTATTATACTGTTTTTCATCAATATATTATAGGTCTCAGATATATGCAAAACATGTCTCTGAAGTGTTTGGCTCCAAATACCGAACAGATCATTGTAGCATCCCATAATCCCCTCTGTTTCAGCTCTGTTTCAATAGTGCGGATTCTGTGTCTTTTACTCTTTTGCTCTAGGAGGAGATTCAGGTGATAAGGTGTGGGGGGGGTTACCTTGGTTGGTTATTGGCTAATGGTTACACAAGCCAAAAAATCGTTATGACATCATAAAGTGGCAAAAAATCTGATCAGCTCATTTTCAGACAGGTTTTTATAGAAATGGATCAGGACAAAAAGAGAGGGAATCTTTTTTCCTGAAACTTACAGAATCTCTTTACACAGAGGGGACACATGTTTATGTAAAAAATACATGAAAAGGTGGATTTTGCATAATAGGTGACCTTTAATTCTAAGCCTGATTACTGAAAAAGACTATCCATAAGAGTAAAGCTTCCTCTCACCTGGATGGTGACGGCAAACAGCAGACATGTCTGTGTGAGCAGGGCGAAGGACTGGTAGTCGGCGACGTCCTTCCCGTCCCCCCTCACCGTGTCGTGCATGGCGGCGTAGGGGATGAAGAAGAGCACCATGGAGCTGTAGCAGCTGTGGAGGGCACACTTGAAGAAGGCCTTCTTGCTGAAGTACAGGTTGAGCTGACCGGGCACGTAGAGCTGAGGTTGCTGGAAACTCCACACGTCGTTCACATCCTGACCAGCAGGGGGGGGGGGGGGGCGGAGAGAATAAGTCAGCTGTTTTTTTTAATGATAAACGGCTTTAGAAAAAATGAAGAGACCACTGCAAAATTATCAGTTTCTCTGGTTTTACTATTTATAGGTATGTGTTTGAGTACTATTAACATATTTGTATTGTATTCTATAAACTACTGACATATTTGATCTGTGTTGGTATTCAACAAACACTGGAATGGAATGGCTCCCATAGAGCTTGAGATGTTACAATGTTTTTTCCAGAGCAATAGATTCACGTACTACATACACACTTTATGAACCTGTATGTATTTGTATTATTATTATCTTAGATTGATTGATTGATTTACAAGCAGTTTAATAAATACAAAACAAATAAACATGCCTCAGGCTTAGTGTATGCCTTTTTCCAATAGCAGGATTTGTTTTAATACGTGAATGAAAAATAAATAATAAATAAATAAGTAAAGTATTAGTACTAATGATAAATAAATAATAATAGTAATAATACAATAAATAAATAAACAACATACATAAATACTCATACATGTAATTCATATACATAATCATAGTCATAATGATAATATATTTAAATGACCTGATCGAACAGACTCATTCCCAGGACAGGTAGTGCTGTGTACACCAGATTGTAGAGTGTGATGAACCACTCATCGTACACCGTCTGAAAGACAAAGTTGCAAAACTTATTCTTAAACAAAGAAGAGCTAAAGATGTTTATTTTGTAAAGAAGAAGTAGCAGCGCAAAAAAAAAAAATCCCTATTCTAGGTAAAACACCAGAAGTAAGATCTGAAAAATAGGTACTTGTTTAGTCGCTGATATATTTACATTATATTAATAATACAGATGCAGCAAGGTCAAGATTCAAGCCCCTCCAAAAGGCCATTAGAAAAACGCCATGGAGTACTTTTTGCAAAATATATTTGAGATATTTAGAGACCATTAAACCATTAAAAGAAGACAGTAAATTATCCTCCTCCTCCTCCTCCTCCTCCTCCTCCTCCTCCTCCTCCTCCTCCTCCTCCCTCCTCCCTCCTCCCTCCTCCCTCCTCCCTCCTCCATCCTCCCTCCCCCTCCTCCTCCTCCATCGTAGTGGACTCTCACCTGCGCAGAGAAGCCGCAGAAGAAGGCGAACCAGAAGTGGACGAAGGTGAAGGTGAAGTTCTTGTAGAAGAAGTAGCGCAGGAACTTGCACATGCGCAGGTAGGACCAGCGGCCGTGCACCAGCAGGAGGCGCTGCAGGAAGCGGAACTGGGCGAAGGAGTAGTCGCTGGAGAGGACCGCCTGCATGCCCTCCTGGCCTGAGATGCCCACGCCTATATGAGCCGCTGTGTGGACAAAGAGAGGAAGAAAAGAGGTGTTTGAATCACTCTGTATCCAAAGAAACAGCTAGGATAAAAATACATTTATATTTGCTATTAGTGAAGAAAATATCTGTCACTTTGTTCTTGTTTCCTGCGATAACACATAAAATGTTGCAACTTAAAGCTGCATAACTCAATTTGTGGCCACTAGGGGGCAGAGATGCACCAAAACAAGCTGAAAATACTCATCAGATCATCGGAATATCGGGACATGTTTGCAGCAGACATTGATAATTGATAAGTGAAAAAAAAAGACAATTTCACAGACTGTCGGGTAATGTCTAAAGACTGCTTGTTCTGTTATGTCGATAGTTTAACAAATGAAAGCAGAACATTCTCACTTATAAGAAACTGGAAAGCAAACAATTGCTAATTTTGTTGAAACATTTTTCATCAAACGTTAAAATACTTGCTAAATAACTTCAAAACAATTGACTGCGTTTTTATGTATTTAGGTTGTTATAAGTACTCCTTCATGCCCTAATTCTCCAGGACAGTTTTCTCTTGTGGGATGAAACACATGTTTAAAAGGGGTGGCTGTGTCTCGGGGGGGGGGGGGGGGTTTGGTGTCTACAAATCAGAGTGTTAGTGATTCGATCCCCGGCTCCTACAACATGTCAGTGTCCTTGGGCAACATACCCAAAATGCCCCCGTAGACATGTCTATGATATTGAACTTTATGCAAGTCCTTTTTGTAAATCAAGAGCTAATTGACATGTTATGTGATGTTATCTTTAACTTCTACACATAGAGCTGCTCTGGTACCTTTGATCATGCTGACGTCGTTGGCTCCGTCTCCTATGGCCAGGGTCACCGCCCCCTTGTACTTCTTCACCAGCTCCACCACCTGAGCCTTCTGCAGAGGAGTGACCCTGCAGCAGATCACAGCCTTACACATGCACGCTGTCCTCAGGAACTCCAGCTCCATGCTGCGCTCCAGGGCGTACGCCTGAGGGAACATGGGGGGGGGATAGGGAAGGGATGAGAAACGGAATTATACAACAGCTGAAAATATAACCTGTACAGTGTCAGAGACTGGATGTAGCTAAAATACCAATAGGCGGTAGTAAAAACCAGGTATGGGCTTGGACTGATGTGGTCAGATTAAGCAAAGATCAGATATTTTTTGCAAAACAAATTAAAAAGAGGCACTGCTGAAGTCTTACTTGGGTGTTGTATATTGCATTTCTAATTGCATTTTCGCTCGACTGTAACTAAATGAATTTATTAAGATTTAGATTAAGATATTTATCCCAGCATAAATGTAGGTTTACACAAGGATAATAATACAAAATAAAAGTCAGTATAAATTAATATTAAAGGTGTTTACATAAATAGAGATATGTATAATTATGGTTATGTTAAATATATATACATCTCAATTTGAAAGTGCAAGTCCAAGTATGAACATAATGGTGCAAGTCCAAAGTACAAACAGTGAAGGTGGTTCTGAGTTTTTATGAGGGGGTCAAATCTTTATTAAATAGGTCTGGCCTGTTAGGCCCCAAGCCTGTTTTTCAGGTCTCAGGCTCGAAAATGACATTCCCAGAACAAATGACCATATCGTCCCTTCTAAAAGGGTTAAATTAATAATATTTTTTCTCAAAGTAATGATAAACCTGTGAGTTGGATGTAGAAAAGTCAGAATCAATATAGATGTTTTTTATTTTAAAGAAAATTCAGATTGAACATAGTAAAAAACTGTAAATTATAGAGTCCGTCCAAAAATTCTTTTTTACTTATAGTGAAAACTACCCTTGGATGATGGTAAGGTAGACTAAAAGCTTTAGGAATCCAAAGTACAACATATAATAAGTACCCTGTATCAAGATTGATGCAAAACAAGTGACATTTGACCTTTTTAGAGAGATTTAGCACAAAAAAAACACTTCTGGGGTCATTTGGGTGGATTTTCCATATCTCTGGCCCCCCTTGGTCGATTTTGATGATTGACATCTCTTTTTAACCGTCAGAGCCAATGGAATCGCGGGAAAGTTCCACATACACACACAGCTTACCAAATAAGGAGTGAGAGAGACGCATAGAAAAACCGGAAGCTGCGCTAGCCTCTGGTAGCTACCATTAGCAGCTTAATTTTTTCTTAATTTTTCTTCTCCGATTTTTGCATAAAAATTGAATTATGGATTATCAATAATTTTTTCAAAGTGACAGACACATTGCTATAACCTATGGATTAACCTTCAGCCGCGTTTTTTCTTGTTTTAATGCCATTGAACACGACTTTTGATCAGAATAACAGCTAAGGTGAGCATATCTCCGTGTTTTGCTAACTAAAGCTACTCGTGTGTTGTCTGTATTTGCTTCCCCTGTCACGAGTTCTGATCGCTCAGTGATGATACTTATATTTCTATAATCTGTGGAATCTCAGGATGTTATCTAAGCTTGTTTGTGCAGATCCAATAAGTATATCGATCGGTATAGCTAGAGTTCTGTGCTAACGGCCTTAATATTTTTTTGCCCGTGGCTAATTCAGAGGCTCAGCGTTAGCTTTGAGGTTTTGTGTGAAAAAAAAAAAAAAAAGAGATCAGTTAGCTGAGTTTCTTCCCGTTACATGGATAGGAAACATTCATAGTTTATTAAATCGTAAGAAGCCCTCAGACACTTTTGCTTGCAGATGTTGTGATTTCGGCCCCTTCGGCAGGTCCGTGGGGCTTAAGTTAATTAATTTTCACACAAATGAAAGCAATGTTCCATATTATGTCATGTATTTTTGAGGTTTTGCTGCAATATACAAATATCACTTTCTCCCAGTTTAGGTATGAGTATACCAAGTCACAGATTGTAATTGGGAAACTTCTCATAGCGTACCAGGCTGTGTCCGTTGATGACCAATCCGTACTCTCCATTCACCGCCTCGTCTGCCATCACTTTCACACCTTTACCCAGAGTGCCTTCCGGCAAAAACACTGAATCCTCTCCTGGTTTCATGGAGGTTTGTGCATCCCTGAAAAAATACAAATGGTTGGATGCACGGCAGCGCTTCATAATTAGCTCAGTTTCTTCAGTTCAGTGTGAACTCAAACTGTTTCTTTACACTTCCTCTGACCTCAGTTCCTGTCTGACGTCCTCGGGAGAATTGGCTGATATGATGAAGACGTCGTTCATCTCCTCCCGCAGTAAGTTGCATGAGTACCCAATGTTTTCCGCCGTTTCTGGAACATCAATTATTAGTAAATAAACTGTTTAGACAGATATGAAGAGCAGAACAAAAATAAAATAAAAATAGTCATATAAGAGTTAAAGACTCTGGTTCAGCATGATTTTCAGGCCAGCATCGGAAATACTTGATAGGAGATAGGATATTTTATGATGCACATTGCAAAATTAGGATGCTGCTTAGAGCAGTGGTTCTCAACTGGTGGGTTGCGACCCAAAAGTGGGTCGCGGACCCGTTTCGAGTGGGTCGCAGATGTGTGAGTGAAGAAAAAATAAATAGAATTTCTATTTTTTTTCCTTCTTTTTTTTTTGTGTAAAAAAGTCAAACTTATTCTGAAGGCCCAATTTTCTAACGCAGTGCATGCAGTGGGCGTTGAACTGGAAGTACCGGAGACCATAAACGGTTTTGAAAACTTCTGTCACGTAGTGATCATCTTCTCAATAAAACATCTTTGCTGATGTTTTTTCGAGTCTTCTGGCCAATCAGAATCAAGATTGTTGCCGGAAGTCTCCACAGAGAATACCGTGGCCGTAGAACTATTCTTTATACATCCATGGGTACAACTTCAGATAAAAATGAACACATAATGAAATATGACCCCCGGTTTGATGACTGACAGGTCACAGAACAATGGGAGCTCTCTACCCTTACCCACAATTTAAAATAATTCACACAGACTATCTCCTCTTTACTCTTCTCTCTGTGAGGAGCAGCAAGTTCATCTTCAGAACTAAGTGAAAAACAAACAATGGCATAAAATATTATTAATATATCGGGTAGTAATAGATTTATTTATTTTCTTCTCAGAGTGTATCAGAATGAGTAGTTTATATGTTGTTCTAAAAATCTCCTGGGAGAGAATCCCCCCAGACCCCCTTCTGGGGTTGGGTTTTCAGCATGTGGGTCTTTTTATGTTATACAGTTCAGCTTTGATTCCATCATCGCATTAAACCTTATTTAAAAGCATACTTTAGTTCTGTGAAGGGATATAAGGGATATATGCACTATACTTCACTTTAATTAATATTGTATGCTGAAAAGCGTATATATTACAGCACCATTTTTTGTTGAATAGATTTGAGTGGTTCAAAATTTCGGGTCGCGATTTATTGACAAAGGAAAAAGTGGGTCCCGAGGCCTGACCAGTTGAGAACCACTGGCTTAGAGTATCTGGATTATTTGTGTTACTCAAAAAAAGCTAAATACAAAGGTTGATCTATTTGGTCGAATGCGGTTAGAAATATGAGCAGACAGACAACTAAACTTTTGCCACAATAGAGAAAAAAAGGAAATTCGACACACAATGTTTGGTGTAGAAATTCTTCCAAGATTAACGATTGGCTTACTGGATACACATATTTGTGTACATTGTGTTTCTTTGCATTTTAAAAAACATTTCTTCATGCTTTACCTCCAAATAAAGTGGCTGGATAATAATGTTTTGGCACAACTGACTTTGTTGTATAATTATGGGCCATAAGCAGAACTATTGTATACATTAGTATAATCATGATTTATTTGGGACTAAATGTGTCTATCTATGTATGTGTGTATGTATGTATGTATGTATGTATGTATGTATGTATGTATGTATGTATGTATGTATCTATGCATAAAATATACATATATATATATATATACATAAAATAAGTGTATATAAATATACATATTTCATTTTTTTCTTCTTAATATCGTTTTATTTTAATCGTTCTGTTATACATGTAAGGACATGCCCTCAGATTTAAGGCATATTATACTTTTTTTTAAACTTGTACTGCCTGTAAAGAAGTGAGTTTATATTTTAAGTACACATAGGGACAAACCAATTCAATAAATTAAAAGTAAAAAAAGGTTGAACGGCCTTGCAAACCAAAACAGTTATACGATATATAGTAAATACAATTCTCTCTTTATATGTGAAGTTATGCACCTTGCTTGTCACCAGTCAAAACCCAGATTTTGATGTCTGCTTTGGACAGCTGCTCGATGGTCTGAGGGACTCCGTCTTGCAGCTTGTCCTCGATGGCTGACGCTCCAAGCAGCTGCACACACACATTCAGATACACAATCAACATGCAATTCAAACACAAAATCCAGTATTTACATTAGGAGCCTTAGTGAAAAGAGTCATGTTTCCTACCAGCAGGTCCTTCTCTATCTCCTCGTACAGCTCGTCCAGTTTGCTCTCCCGGTCGTCCAGCAGGGTGCTGGCCTCATGGTGGCGCTGTTTCCAATCATTAAAATACCCCTCATCCAGATCCTTGTAGGCCAGCACCAGAGTCCGCAGACCCTCCCCTGCAAACTCCTGTAGAGCGGCATGTACATACTTGAATGGATTACATATGCAAGTACACACTCATAAATTCACCCCACAGATCCTGGAACAACCAACACACACACACACACTGACTGTATTGAGAGATAGGAACAGAATACACCTAGCTGTGTGTATTTTCTGACCCAGGCAATAAACTCCAAGAGGAGAGAAAAACATTTTGGAAATAATCCGTTTTTGATCTGAAAAAATGAATTAAAGGGAGATATAAGGAAATTAATAGAAACTGAAAAAAGACCCCAGCAGAAGGGCTACTCCTCCAAATCACTGAGCTCCGAAAAGGATTAAAAACACGTAAATTATCCACAAAGATGAACATGGAGATGTTACAGTAGTTTATCTTGAGTCAATCCAACACAATCCTAATAAATAAACAAAGATTGTATTAAATAGTTTGTAAAAATAGCTACAGCATCAAGCAGGAAATTACAAAGCATCTTTAGAAAAAAACCATTTGCAAGCTCTTTTTAAAGATGAATGTCTTTAGTAGGAACCAGTAGGTGTCATGGTCAGGTAGGGATGTGGGAAAGTACTGCGAGATGGAGCGATGCTGTTGTTTTTGGTCCTTTTACCTATGGATTCTCTTTACATTTGAAATGATGTATAAACTTCTGACCTTATGAGCCTTATGAGGCCTCAAATACATAATCCATATTTTAGTCTTTGGCCACTGGCTTCCAATAATGATTGATTTTTTTAACCTCGGCTCAAAACCTTTTAACTCTTATTTGGATCTTTAAAATAGCTCTGATCTTTTTTATTTCAACCGATGTTTAGACTGATTAAATACATGTTTTAGACCATTAGGCAGTTAGGGAGATTAGTTTATGGGATGTTTGGTTAGGGTTAGGGTGGTGTGAGCTTGAAATGTTTCTGTATAATACATGAACTCTCTTAATTCTGGATGTGTTGACAATATGTCATGTAAATACTTTATGTTTGATGTCTGTGTCCCCATTCCCAAGCTTTTTGAAAGGTTTTGAAATGTCCTCTCTGTGGACTTGATGTAACTGCATGTACACAGTTTGATGGATCACATGCTCATTACGATGAACTTTGTAAACACACACAAACACACTTGACAAGATAACTAACACACAGCCATGCAGGGACAGACATCCGGCAAAAGATGGAGAGTGAGAATTAACTTTCGTTCTTTTTGCCGCTGCTTTGAATTGAACTTTTCATATCTTGCACTGCACTGTAACTTGTATTCATGTATTTTATACCTGTGTTATTATATATATAGTTTGTTTTATGTATATTTGATTCTCTTTGCTTTTCAATGACAGTTTTTTTAAAGGCCATTTTAAAATGTGTTTCCGTTGCACTATTTCTTAATGCTCTTAATGTCTTTCCTTTTTGTAAAGCACTTTAAATTGCCTTGTGTTGAAACGTGCTATTTAAATAAACTTGCCTTGCCTTTCAAAAAGAAATGTACTTTTTTTTTGACAAACATACACACACAGTGAGATGTTACTGACATTAAGCTGCTCTGTAGTGACGTCCATCAGCTTGTTGCAGGACCGATGCAGCCTCTCGTAGATGATCGTGTCTGCGCCTTTACAGAAGAGAGAGAGCTTCCCCTCTGGACTCCGAACTACACACACACACACACACACACACACACACACACACACACACACACACACACACACACACACACACACACACACACACACACACACACACACACACACACACACACACACACACACACACACACACACACACACACACACACACACACACACACAATTGAAATAAATGATGATACGAAAATACAGTCCGATCTGTTATGTATCGACACAGTTTTGATTAGCCTTAATGAGAAAAAAACAATACATAGAAAATAAAGAATAAGAAAAAGGGAAAAAGCAAAGAAATACATTATTAAAAGAAAGCAGTGCTTTATTTTAATATCTAGTCTTGTTTTTTTTTTCATTGCATCATTTTGTATATGTCACCAAAGTGTCCAGAATTAAAAAAAAACGGGATCTACTTAAAGGCGCCCTATTATGCTGATTTTCAGCTTCAAAGCTTAGTATGTAGTGTCTCTACTGTGACATGTCTCCATGCTTTAATGTTCAAAAAGCTCTTTATTTTTCTCATACTGCCTGTGCTGCAGCACCTCTTTTCACCCTCTGTCTGAAACCAGAGCCCAGTCTGTTGTGATTGGTCAACCACTTAGAAATGTCCCACCCCTTAGCCTATATCATACAATGTGTTGGAGCGCGAGCCAATAGAAGCATGCGTGTTACACAGTGATGTCACTATGTTACAGAAGTAATCAAAGGAGTCCAACAGAGGCGTTTAAGTTGGGGGGAGCTTTGGAATCTTAGCCTTTGCAGACCATTTACATTTTACATGATTATCATTTGTTGTTTTATAATTTCTCTTTTACCTCACATGGCTACAATTTTGAGGTGGGTTGTTGGTGGGCCAAACCCCCCCCCCCCACCAAAAACAGAGGAATACTGATTAGGAACCTTAACTCTCAATTATTTCCAATCTGTTTTTAGAGGATTACTGACCTATGACGGACATCCTCTTGCGGACGTTGTTGAAATCGAGGATGGCCAGGAGTTCATAGCTGCGCTGCTGTCCCATTTCCACGATGGAAACGCTGTCCGGCGTGCGTGAGCGGAAGACAAATCCAAAGTTTCTGGCGGCGGTTACCAAAGCTCCCTCATCTGGAGACTGCGCCTGATAGGACAGCTCACCTGAAGGAGCAGAAATGTCTTTATTTGTCAGTCAGGGAAGAGGATTTGCCTTCAGGTCTAGATGAAGTTGGTCATTTGTGATCACTACGATATTTGGTTTTATCTATCAAAGACAGAGGATGTGTTAACCTTCTTTCTTCTCCTCTGCCATGACGGTGTGGCAGAGGGCCAGCAGTCTGAAGAAGGTGTGGACCTCTGGGTTCTCCAGCTTCACCGCCTCCACCAGGGAGTGGTCGTGGAACATGAAGCGGGGGTCCGCCAGCGCGTTGAAGGAGAAGTCCACCCTCTCTGTATGCTGAGAGAGAGAGAGAGGTTCATTTATATAATTGATGTGGTAAAATCCAGCCTTATCCTCATTATGATATCAATCAGTTATTTTATTGATTGTGAGGTTAAGCATCCACAGTGTTAAATCCAATGACTCCTAGATGATAAAGCAACACTGTTACAAACAGGGGAACAGGGAAGTTGTATAGAAAAATATGACATAAAAAACAAATGACTTAATTTGCAATCTAGGTATAAGGACTTGCTGAATTTTAATTATCAACATCCAGCTCACCTCAGTTATTTCCAGTCTTTGACCTGTGTAGTCATACACATCACCTGAAAAAGATAACGAAAAGTATTAAGTTGAGAAACATAAATGAACCAGTTGCATGAAGAATATAGAAGAACTATAATTAATTGAACTATACTATTATTTGCTTTTTCCTACCGTGTTAATCATTTATTTTTGTATTTTTATTCATTCTTTTTTAATTATTATCTTATTTATTTTTTGTTTGATTTTGAAAGTTTGAGTCATGATTTTTCTGTTCTGTTTTGCCTCTCCTTCTATTTGTATTTATTTTGCAGTTGGACATCTAAAATGAAGCATGGTATCCACCCAACATGAATCTGTATCAATGCTGTACTGTATGTATGCTTTTTAATACAAATATTAAAAACAACTTTGTATTGGAATTGAATGTGTACTCAAATGAATAGCCGATATGTTCTTTATATATGACATCATTCTGTATTCCTATATGAATGATTACAATTATAAAATGCTGTGCGGCATCATTGTGTGCTATTATAGATCATTGATCATAAATCACAAACAAAGGCACTTTTTTCTGAGTCAGAAACCCTAAGATGCCTCTTGCCATTGTTGTGGAGAAAAAGTCTCCAGAGCAGCCGATGTATTCACAAAACGAAAAACAAACTTGATTATAGAAAACGGCGTCAGAACTACGGGTAGAAGTCATGAGTCTCACCGTATGATTTGCCGTTGATAGAGCACTTGTTGAAGGTCATGATATTCTGCGTGAGCGTCCCTGTTTTGTCACTGAAGACGTACTTGATCTGGCCCAGCTCCTCGTTCAGCGTGGTGGTGCGAGCCTCGGCGGGGGTGTCGCTCCGTGAGTAGTACATCTTCCTGTCCCAGTCGATGTAGAAGCTGTTCCCCAGCCGGATGATCTCCACACTGCCGAAGAAGTAGCAGGAAGAAGAAGAAGTTGTCGTTAAACATTATGCTAACTTTTCCCTACTCTCACTGGATGTTTGATGTCATTTGAGCAGAGGTGGGAAGTAGTGGAGTACAAATACTTCGTTACTGTACTTAAGTACATTTCTCTGCTATCAGTACTTTACTCCACTACTTATTTTTCTGAAGACGTTTTACTTCTTACATTTTTAACACAAATACCTGTACTTTCTACTTCTTACATTTTCAAAACAGGCTCGTTACTTTAGTTTGAATCTGTGTTTGGTGGCGTGATCATTATTATTTAGAGTCATTGCGTGCCTATTGATTTTAACACGATCCGTGTATCCTTCATTTCCTGGTCTTCTCTAAAGAAGAGGGACCAATGAAAACGTTGTCATGTTGCCGTTGTTCAGCATGGAAACATTCATTAGCTAACAATGACATTATTGTTCTATTAATATAAAGGGAGGTCAGGTACTCTTTAAAACAGATGGTAGTTATGGGTACTTTTTACTTAAGTACATTTCGAATCCCAAACTTCTTTACGTTTACTTGAGTAAAGAAGTTTAGTCAGTACTTCTACTTTTACCAGATTATTTTTAAACACGAGTATCTGTACTTATACTTGAGTAAAGGATGTGTGTACTTTTGCCATCTCTGCATTTGAGTTCAAAATCCCATTAAATAAATAGCCATTGCACACACGTCTTTACCTAACATAGAGAGATATGGGCACCACAGTGTTGAGGATGATGACGTAAGACCAGAATGTGAGGAAGGCGGAGAAGCCAGCATCGTTGCCATCTTGTCTGGGCAGGAAGACTGTGAACTGTGAGCCTTCGTTCAGCTCCCAGAAGCAGTTTCCTATCGCCAGGATGGTGCACATGAAAGCCAGGAAACCGAAAATCTGCATGGAAATACATCACAAAAATTGAACCTGCTTTAACTCGCAAACTCATTTTGAGAAACAAAATGTAAGTACAGTAAGTGTTGATTTCTGATGCATCAACAATGTTGGAGATATGTAAATAACGGTTTTGCAAGTTTATATTACAGCTGATGCACAGATACAGAAAAGCCAGATACATTTTTTATGTAGGAAGTTACACTCTTGCAGTCCAAACTATTTCACACACTTAAACAAGATGTCAATTTCATAACTTTGCAAGATCTTGAAGAGTTTTGCAATAAATCTAAAACTAGACTTAACTTTGTGTACCTTGTAAGGCGACCTTGAGAGCCTAGAAAGGCGCGTTTATAAATCAAATGTATTATTATTATTATTATTATTAAAAGTAGTAGCTGGTAAAAACTATTTTACCCTTTACTGTATATAAACTATTGTTAATCTTAATTGAAGCATGCTTTTCTGTACTTATACCTGCTTCCTTTGTTCACGGTTTAGGCCCATGACAGAAAGTGTATACTTTGATTTGTCGGGGGAACTGTCCCTTTAACTGATGTTTATCATAAATTCAGAGGAAACGGGCAAATCATTAAAAGACTCACACAAAGGACTAGAACATTCATCAGTCGGTCTATGCTGGTCCTCTTGAACGTGCTTTTCCCACAGTTCTGCATCAGCTTTGTCTCTGGACCTGCAAAAGAGGAACAGAAACAAATAAATCATCTCATAACTTCCTCAATTTTAAACCCCTTTTAGTGTGAAATAAGACTTGAATCAGACATTGCACTTAAGTTTAGTTTTTCATATTCCCTTCTTAATTACAATTCTGCTTTCTTTGTCTGTAGTGACTTGGCTTGGGAACTGTAGGGGCCCCGGTTCAAGTCCAGGTCGGACCAGGTACAAATGTGGACTGGAAGCTGCCAGCTTGCCTGACACCCCTCCACTAATGGATGTCTATAGTTCCTGTTTGTGTATGTGTGTATTGTATAGAGATTGTGAACATCCTACAAATACCTGGATGTTCATCTGAACAATAAACTGGACTGGACTGATAATTCTGCTGCTCTGTACAAAAAGGAACAGAGTAGACTCTTTCTGCTGAGGAGACTGAGGTCTTTCTGGGTGCAGGGGGCACTCCTTCAGACCTTTCATGACTCTGTTGTGGCATCAGCCATTTTCTATGGTGTGGCCTGCTGGGGCAGCAGCATCTCGGCTGATGATAGGAAGAGACTGAACAGACTGGTAAGGAATGCCAGCTCTGTCCTGGGGAGTCCTCTGGACACTGTGGAGGTGGTGGGAGACAGGAGAATGGCAGCTAAGCTGTTCCCCCTGCTGGACAATGTGTCCCACCCCCTCCAGGACACCCTGTCCTCACTGTGCAGCTCCTTCAGCGACAGGCTGCTGCACCCCGGCTTTCTCACGGAGAGATACCGCAGGTCCTTCCTTCCTGCAGTGGTCAGACTATACAACCACACGCACACACAACAACACAGACTATAGCACCTCTTGTTGTTAAATACTAAATATGTGCAATATATATATTAGGGATGGGAATTTGAAAGCAAATGTATATTAGAATATTCGACCCCCAAAAAAAACGGTTAACCGATTAACCGAAATGTACATATCCTATAAAAAAATGTAAAAAAAATGTGGGAAAAGAATTTACAAAGAATTTTTTTATTTTTATTTTGAAAAATAAATAAATACTGTACATGTTCAAATAAGTAACCGTATTACAACAGAGATCAACAACCTATAACAGGGCCTATGCACAGAATGCAGCTATTCAATACTCATTCTTGTTTAAGAATATGAGCATGTCTACTCAGGGGAGAGGCGGGTGCGGAGGCGATTCACAATCAGGCCAGCTGTAGAGAAGACCCTCTCAGCTGGAATTTGGGCATAAGATGAAGAAGTAATTCTTCTCATATGTGATGTATTGTAAATGCAAAAGAGTGAAAATTGAATAAAAGAGAACTGACCATTTACATGCTACAGGAAAGAGAAAACCCTCAGAAGCATACAGTAATAGGGCCTCTTAAAGTACTGTTTGTGTTAATCTTAATTGATGAAGACATGTCTGCGAGTCCTTCCCCACCTCCAAACAGCACCAGTCCAAAGCACCACCCGGTGTTCCTCAGGGTGGTGCCTCGCAGCAGGATCTTCTCGTTGTCCAGCGAGTATTTCTGACCTGCGTAGGTTAGTGTTCCCATGAAGCGGTCCAGGCGGTTGTTGGGGGGCTCACAGCGTACTTCCCCTATTAAAAAATGTATGCATATCATTCATGTGTGACTATCGATTATAATAGGGATTAAAACGTTGAGGTGTGACTTTTGAACCCAGTTTAGTCGCCTAATACTTATTGTTAGGATTTTTGACTTAGTCTATTGTTGCTCTCAATGCACACAGAAATAGACATGCTGTTAATATTAGAAAACCATAAATAAACACATATAACAATACGCATGGAACTAATATGGACATATAGGTGAAGAAAATGCAAACATAAATATACAATAAAAATGTAACAGCATCAAATGTCTAAAAGGCTAACATTTTCATATTACATATTTACATATTGTTTACTGAGGTATCATTTGTCTTTGTGTGTTCGCTCTTTTTGCTGCTGTGCTTCAATGTGCAAAATGCTGAGCTAAGTATGAACAATGTGGCATAAAAACAGCTTATCCAGGTTTTTGTATTGGTAAAGAAGATAGCAACTGAGATGGAGAGAGTGAGTAAGTGTGCATACTCTGAATGCTTGTGATTTCAGAAATCCACACTTGGTTGTCCTCTAGAAGTCTTACCATCAAAGTCTGCTAGTTTTTCAATATCCTCTCCCAGATCTCCTGTCACGGTCAGGGCCTGTCTCACCTTCAGGTTAGTCTCTCTGCGGAAGAGGAGAGGATGGTGATAAATAAAAGGAAGAGGGAGAAACAATAGACACAACTAAAGAAGGAAGAGAAAGTGCTTTCACGCCATAATGTTCCCCTTTATTAGCACGCAGCGGACTGAACAAGGTCCTGACAATTAGCACTATTATGTACTGATTCAAGGAACTACATCGAATTGAAAGATACAAAAGATTCCCACCCCTACCCTCATGTATTCTTTATATGTTTAACAAGCTCACATCATGACGTAACACAAAAAATGTACTTACCCATCCAGTTCTGCCGTCTCGATGTACACCAGGTTGAGTGGTTCGCTGCTGGAGAGCAACATGAGGTCGGCCTGAAATACAGAAGGATTTATAACAGATTTAATCATAAATAATAAACAAAACTATCATATGCATAATCTAAGGAACATGATTGTAGGTAAAATCTGTTTTTTCGAAGGAGAAATAGCTTATAAATATTCCAAAAATGTACTGACTGTGACAAACTGGTTGTTTTCCAGCTTGATGATGTCTCCCACTTGGACGTCCAGCCATTTCTCGCTCCGCAGTCTGAAAACAGGAAACAGGCTGCTAAGTGGATGTTTGGACTCTGCACTCTGCAGTTCAGAGAAAATGCATTATTTTCCCTTTCCTTCAGGACTGTCAAAAAATAAACCGTCCATAAATAAGCATTGAACACAGAGGTCATCCTAATACTAGTTTCCTTTCCTTCACTGCATGTTCCTGCCAGTTTCCTGAATTACTGTCAGAGTATCTGTCTGCCAGTAATAGCCACAGTTCTTAGAAGTTGGCTGGAATACAAGTATTTGATGCTTATGGGTTTTCCCTTTCATGCATACATTTGTGCCAGAGATTCAACTTTGAGCAGAGTTCATTGTTTCCTTCAATCTCCCTCTAATTTGATAGGCTTCTAATACAGCTTGCACATGATGAATTCTTTCATACACCTTAAAAATAAATGAGTCACTACATAAATTATTTTACAAAGCAAAATACAAATTCACTTCTAATAAACTTGACAATACTCAGTGTATTTAAAATGTGCCTCCATTAGGTTTCAGAAGAGTTTTTCTCAAACTATTTTGCTTTTATGTGATACTATATACTGCCTGTGCTCGGGCACATCTTTTCACCCTCTGTCTGAAACCAGAGCCCAGTCTGCGCTATTGGTTAGCTGGCCGGCTCTGTTGTGATTGGTCAACCGCTTAGAGACGTCCCGCCCCTTAGCCTATCACTAACAATGTGTTGTAGAGCTAGCCAATAGAAGCTTGAGTGTTACACAGTGATGTCCCTATGTTATAGAAGTAAATAAAGGATACTGAGAAACAGACTGCATGTAATTAAAGATAATTCATCAATTTGTAATTCATGACTATAATCATTGACATGGCAAAAACAAAACATAACATACTTAAAGGGGACCTATCATGCAAAATGCACTTTTGTACGTCTTTTATACATGAATATGTGTCCCCGGTGTTCCAGGGAACTCACCAAGTGTCAGAAAACACAACCCTCTCTATTTTCCTCCATACCCAAATCTCTAAAAAAGGGATCAACGGATCTGATAAAAACTGATCCAGATTTGAACACTGTCCTGACGTCAGGACGGTGGCGCTACGGCTATTGGGCCAACTCCACCAATCAGGAGGAGACAGCCACGGCCATTGCCGTTCGAAAGCGCTGGAGACGCTGTAGTACATATGCCAGGCCTGTAAGTGGCGCTGTAGTCTGCCACAAAAGCAGCGAAGAAGACTTGGTTACCATGGTTATCCTTCTGTTTATTCTCCGCTGTGGCTTTTTTTCTCCCTCCCCGAGGCAAGCGTTTGCTCCCGCTGCTGTAATTCAATGCAATCCCTCCCCGTCGAGGCAAGCACTGTAATTCTCTCCGGTTAGTCCACCAGCAGATGACAAACACCCACCTCTCCGCCTCTTCCAAGGAACGAGGGGACCGTGCGGCAGAGTTTCAGTTTCAGTTACTTTCGCCGGTCAAGATGTTCGTTAAAGTTTAAATCTTCCGGACAAAATTAGAAAAGTGCCGGTCAAAGGTCTTCTTTGTTATTTATTGAGCTTTAAAACAAATGAATAACGACTCTATATAATAAAACACGGAGGACGGAGATCTCTTTTTCTCCCCCTCTTCTGACAGCCCAGCAGCTGATCAGAGCACGTCTCTCCTCTCCTGCAGGGGGGCGTGGTCAGCAGAATCAGACCCGTAGACAGCAAACAACACATAGAGCGAAATGAGGCATGGCTAAAATGCATGATCTGTTTGGTATTTTGAAAACAGAAACGTATAAATATACCTTATATAGGTATGTCCCTACAATATATCATTTAAATATAGCATGATAGGTTTCCTTTAAATAATAACATTGAAAGAGGTGTTTAGTATAGCTTTTCTTTATGATATTTCGGGCTTTGCATCAGTCATTAGACCATTAAGGGAGATGAACTTACACCCTTAATAAATAAATAAACTGTGTTCTGTTAGGAAACTAGGACCCTGATGTCTAAAAAGGATATTTCAAGCCCATATTCCTCTTTAATTGATTTTGAATTATTCTGTTTATTGACAAGCCGACTTAAAAAAAAATTCCTGGAAATGAATCTGGCATTACCCATCTGTGTCTTCTTCGCAAACTTTGTGACTAAAACTCTATATATTTTAGCCAACAGGAAGAAGCCGCAGGGTGGTGGGGGGAGTGCTTGTTTTGGATCTGGTTTGACCTGAGGGTTGCTATTAAAATGTAAAGGTGAAGGGAACCCAACAAGATACACTGAGGAACGCCTACATGTACTCAACAGGTTAAAAGGCACTGATCGTGGCTTTAAAATGAATAAAAACACAGGATTTGGTTGCCTGAAACTTTGCGTATATGGCCACAGGTGTACTGCGCTTGATTCATACAGTATGCACATGAACAAACTTGATTGTACTTAAACAAACTTACTTTCTGTCAATAAGGACTTTAACTTTTCTGTTGTTGACTTGATTATCGCTCCTGTGGCGATTCTGGAAAAAAGACACACACAAAAACAAAAATAAATACTGAGTCAAAGAGGATCACAAGAAACTCAAGTTTTTACCAACAATTGCTGAATAGATCTGATGAAAATTCCATTGAACCAGCTAGCATTGTGTAATCATTTATAATATAGGTACTAACTAAAGTGTGGGAGAAGATAGAGTGATAGAGTAACATTCTCAAAATGGGAACCTCCCACGAGAGATATTCCGCTAAATGACACCTTCAGGAGTGACATCGCTGCCAAACAAAAAGTACTTTTTTTTTCTCCTGGAGCTAATGTTTAACCCATGATGAACCCATTATTTCCTCTTGGGGTCTGGCATTAAGTGATTGGGTGCCACACACAACACACACACACATACTGAACAAACACTTTTGTGCTTGGATGTCCTTGAAACAAAAAGTCATTTTCCCGTCATTGTTTTTTCGAGGTACTTTTCATTCTATTTCGGTTCCCGTTAAGCGATTAGAGAAAAGAAAACAGGTTTTCAATCATTAACCAAAAAAACATACAACCAACTGACTTCCTGATGAACTTGCAGTAGAGTTTTGAAATGGGGAGGGGAACTTTTTACTGATAAACACTTTGTTTTGCACTCACATCAGTTAAGAGGAGTGTGAAGTGTTTTGTACATAAGACTGCTGACGTTAGTGGAACATTTCTTTTCCCCCCACAGTCAGAGAGTAAATAGTGATTATCAGCTACATGAAAAAACATACAGTAGTACTCAGTCTGTTTGTAAGAGAGCTGCATCAATATATGCCACTTAGCAAGAAGATATACAGTATTTAAAAGCTACTTATCATCAAGGAAGTTCACTTAAGATTTAATGGAATTAATGGAACAGATTGTGAACTTGCTTTCCCTATTCATTTTTCGGATGAGGTACAGGATGTGTAGCAAAACTGGACACCAGATGTGTTGATGTTTGAAGTTAATGAGAGGGGATGATTGCCTGAACTGTCTTCCTTGCCGTTTTGCTTTTTGAGCATTTCCAGCGCTTTTTTTTAGGTTATTGGATTAGTCTTTATATGCTTAAATTGTAGTTGTGATAATGCTAAGGCTGCAGAAAAGACACAATACTGTCTTTATATTTGATATATTTTATGTTATTTTATGTTGTTGTTAGGTGTGAACAGCCAGTTTGTAGCTGGTTAAATTATTCGTTTTAAGATCGTTTCCCTTCCTGGTTTAGGTATTTTTTTATAGTCAAGTTAATAGATGATCTTCATTGTTAAAAGAAACCAGTGTTAACTAGTAGAGCCAAGCTTGACAACTTGACTCTACTTTCACTTTTTCCATTAAAGGATGTCAATCTTTGTTCAATTGACCTGAAAACTTTTTTTAGGCCTGAAACAAACTGAGAAGGTGCTCTTTTTTACTGACTTGGAGACATGGTGCTCTTATTAAAGGTGATCGATCAATCAGTCAATCAATCACAGGAAAAAAACAACTCTCCTCAGACCTCAGATGCAGATAAAAAAATCCCAAACCTTTTCTATTACAACCCTAAATACATTTTTGAACTATTTGGGTACAGAAGAGGTATGGGTTTCTCTTTGTGATTCCAGAGTTTGTTTGTTTGCTGTCCCTTTACCTCTTGGCAGTAGAATTTGTGAAAGGTGCATTAGACATGTTTGCTTACAATATCGTCAGTGGCATCCTTGGCAGCGGTGACTGTCAGCACGAGGACCAGAGGCACGACTGTGGTGAACCAGGACAGAGAGGAGATCTGAGGAATCACCTGAAGAACACACAGAAAACTGTTTTCAGTTCACTTCAGGGTACACTTATTTTTGCGTATATTAAATAAAAACAGGGAAAACTAAAATGAGTGTGCGTCGCAGAAAAATGTAAAGACAATAAAGGCAATTAAAAAATTCATGAACATGACAACAATAACTGTAATGTGATCGCACATATAACAAGTGTGAAAGACTACATTGGTTTTAAAGTGATTGGGGAAAGATTATGGTAGAGTGAGGTGACACAAAGACAGCTGTTTGTGGGTGTTAAGGAGGGAACAGTGTGTGCATTATGTTAATTAAAACTTAAACACAAAGAAGGACATACAAACTCTGTGAAAATGTTTCTCAAACTGCGTCATTGCCAAAAGGACCACAATTGAAATTACATTTGAGGAAGATGACAGAACATCGATTAACAATGTTGCACTGCAAAAACATTTGAATGGCTAAAAGAAAAATGGCATGATTTGCCCCAAAACTTTTATCAATATATTTTCTTTAACCATGTTTAAATGCATTTTATTTGGTCTATGAGACCATTTTATACTGCAAATCATGTTATGCAGCAGTTGCGATACAAAGTAAAAAGTGTGCAAAAACGTAGTGTGCATGAAACTAAATATAAAAAGAAAATGATCAGTAAGTTGCAAAAGTTTACTATTTAGAGGATAAGGGTAAGGTGCAAATCTAAATATAAGAGTGACAATTTTGCATACAAGGTGTTCATCAGGTCTTCCAAGTAGGTTCCATTCTGGTTTGCATGTCTTTGTTTGTCACTCAAAAACATCTTCACCTATTCTTAAAGACATTCTATATAAAATTATTATTATTATTTGTAATATATTTACAGTTAAGAATAAATAGTACCTTGTTAGCCATTTTCAAAAAGTATCAAACCCTGATAGATTCTGATGCATAAAAAGGCACCATGGACCATTGACACAAATATACAAAACTTTTTCATTTGAAACTGCCATTGGGCTCCAGTTCCTCCTTGTCTGACTGCAGAGCAGCCCGAGCAACATGACTGTTTTGCAAACGATGAGGCAATTTCCTGTACTGGATATTACACTTCCTTAATCTCATTGCACTTGATTAATCTCTACATCCTGTTTGGTTAACACAGCTACACTGTGAGAAATAATAGTTGCTCGCTGTGGATTGTGTTGTGTCAAGAATGCCTGCAATCTGTCAGTTTGATTAGTTAAAATCTGTTTCCAGCATAATATTATTTCTCTATCTTGCAAATATGTCAAACATTTAGATGGTCTTCAACTAACCTGAGAGGAACAAGTCTAATTTTCATTTTATTTTGAGAGATTTAATACGTTTTAATAGCTAGTTGGATGGAAGCGTTGCATTTATGTTTCCTGCACATATATGTTTGTGTGTCTGTTTCACTCACCTGGAGCACCAGAAGAAACAGAAAGTAGGCATTAGCGATCCTCTGGAACTGCTCAAACAGGTTAAGAGGTAGGAAGGTGAAGGGGTTGTACTTGGAGGTCTTGATGGCATTTGTCTAGAAGAGGTGTAAAAAAAAAAGGAGGATGGATAAGATTTAGTTCTTTGCATTCAATATACTTTAGGCCCTTTTTATGTTTCAGTGATAACATACTAGTCTCATGTGTGTAGGTCGTCAACACGCTGAATATGTCCAATAACCATCAAACCTTGAAATAAAAAATCTCAATCACGAGGTTGGTCAGAACATTTTGGAGCCATTCTGCATAATAACGCTTTTTGATGTGCCTTTAACATTTTCCTCATACTTCTGTATTAAAACACAGATTACATTTTTTTTTCTCAAGTCAGGACTTTTACTTGTTATATACTTTTGATCTCTATAATGGTCCAAAAACTGATAATAGATTATTTTGGAATAAGAAATCTAGAACATTCCTTGCATTTCAGTATTAACAAACCAACTAACCAACTAACCTTAGCCTACTGTGCACAAAGCTAACTTTAGCAAGATCAAGCTAGCTAACAGCAATCCAACATTAGCTAATGGGGAATAAGGCTAACAATAGCAGGGATGGGCAACAACACAACCTGGAAATGCTACATTATGAGCTTGTTAATTTTAAGCAGCAACTACCTCTACTAACTTGATGGAAGTGTGAAAAATAGTTGAGGCTATCAGGATACCATACCATAAGCAGAGCTAGGCTACCAGCAATCTAACGTTAGCTAACTGGGCTAAGAGTTAGCGCACTTAAGGCGAGACACCCCAGGTGAATAGGGTAATTTTTTTAACTTAAAGATATCAGCTAGAAATTTCTCCAGTTAATTACGTACAATAAGGCAATTGTTTTTTGTATTACAAGTTTTCTGAAATAGCATGTTTAAATATGCAAATGAGCCATTATCTCATGAAATATGGGCATATTTTAACACATTTCAGGAACCGAAATCTGAACTTTGGATAAAGCCAGGATCAAAATTATTGTTTCATTTTGTAGTCATATTAGTATCTAAGGCTTTTACAGAAGGGATTTTGGATATCTCTTTGTATCACTCCATAAATCAGAAAATACTGTCAACAGCCCTAAAATATCAATTTTCACCATGTTTTTAGGTATAAAATGTTATATAATTCAGGCTATGAATTATATATGACCAAACCCTTCTGTAAAAGCCTTCATAATATTGATAGGAATATAACTGGAAGGTTTGGTGTATGTAACTGCTACTGAAGTGGAAATTTCGAACTCAGAGTAGGAGAAAAAACTCATTTTGAGAAAACGACCTTTAAAGATTTGCAGTGTGACGCTAGCTAAACCCTCCTGTTATCTGGATGATAGCTTGCGCATCGACGCACTCCGTGAAGGTATTTCATGTTCGGGGTCATTTGTTTTTTGTATCACCTTGCTTTGTGCAAGTGACAATTGTTGTCGTCTTCTCTGTGAACGTTTTTTTCTCCGTTATTTTGCCATTTTCAGATTTAAGTTTCTAGCGGAAAGCTAACCAGGAAGTGCTTTAGCACACCACGTGACGCATCTGAACGAATCACGTTGTCAGAAATTGACACCAGCCAATGAGATTTCGTTTCTTGGTTTAAGACCCCTTTGTACTTTCACGATTGGTTGCTGATACAAAGGAAATGACCATATTTGGATCCGATGAGATTGTGCAGGAGACACGGAGCTTTCCAACGATACCTCTGATGACATGGTGCAAACAGCGGTCGCGGTACTTTATGTTACGTTAGAATGCTAACTTTTGGTGAATTTAGGAGAAATCTACAGACGCAAATAGACAAACTATAGTAAAATAAACACTTAAATGTGTATTTTGTACGTTTTCCTTCCAAAAGCCTGAAAGAAAACATGTTATGGAATCAAAATAGCACAAAATCTCAAAATTGACCAGTGCAGGAAAAACGATGTTTTTGCCTGCCGTGTCTCGCCTTAATAATAAATAAATAAATAAATAAATAAATAAATAAATAAATAAAATGGAAATTGATTTAATTAAAGACAGCCCCAGCATATTGGGTCCCCCAAATGTTACCTCCATGTCTAGCTTGACGCGGTAGGAAGCAGGTCTATTCTGTTCAAGAATTTAAACAATTTCTCATATTGAATATGGCCTATGGTAGCCTATGAAGGAACGAGGTAGATCTTGGACACAATTGTTCAATGATAGATTTATTATTTACTAACAAAGCTGACAGAATAGTTCAAACCTACAACTTCCTGACTGGTCTTTCTGACCATAATCTTATTCTTTTTACCAGGAAACTCACCAAAAAAAGGTTGATGGCCACACCTAAAACCCCTGCCTTGGGTTCTCGCTTCATCCCCAAAAACCTGCAACAACGTTTTATGGATGCAGTGAAAATGATTAATTGGGGGGACACTCTGTCCTCTGAAGATATTGGTGAAAACAGTAATCTGTTTATTTCTAAAATTAATGATACAATGTCTTCCTTCTCAAGGAGAGGGTGCCTTAGGGACAGGAAGGAACATCATCTTCCCTGGCTGAATCTACAATGCAGGAATTTAATGAAATCTAGAGACCAACTATTAAAGCAGAGCTTGAAATCCAGACTATCCACTGATAGACAGAAATTCACTCATGCTCGTAACAAGGTAACTCAAACAATAAGACAGGCCAAAGCGAACTTCTTCATCAATATAATTGAAGGTGCAAAAGGTAATGGGTAAAAAAGTTTGGCAAATCTTAAATAAACTATTAGGTAAACATAAGAAACAGGAAAATAATGTTTTAGAATAAAAAATCAATGATGCCCTGAGAAAAAGTTTCTATACATTGGCTAAAGTCCTACTTATCGAACAGAAAACAGTATGTTTTGGTCAACGGTGCCAAATCGCCCTACCTTGTGAACCCTGTTGGGGTTCCACAAGGTTCCATTCTTGGACCATTACTGTTTTCACTGTACATTAATGACTTGCCTAATGTATGTCCTGAGTTGAATGTGCAAATGTATGCCGATGATGCGGTCATCTTTATACACGGGAAAAAGACTGAAATTATCTCATCCTGTCTCTCAAATGCTTTGGACAAGGTTCAACACTGGCTGAACAACATTTGCTTAAACGTAAAAAAACAGTATGCATGATGTTCAGTAAACGACCAGTCAAAATCGAAGGATCCAATGTGTTTTTAAACGGAGCAGAAATAGAGTTTTAATAGAAATAGTTTTTTTCTTTTTTTTTTTTTTTTTTATTAATCTTTTTTTTTTTTTTCTTTGGATGGAATGAATACCTATGGTGATAATTCAATGTAATACATCATTTTTATAGTCTGGTACCTGAAAAAGGTCAAATGGCACTGATGGAACCAGATGTACCCAAATGTGCCGAAAGCTTATTCCGCCTGGAACTTTTTTTTGCTAAATATCTCTAAAAAGGTCAAATTTAACTTGTTTTGCCTCAATCTTGATACAGGGTACTTATTATATGTTATAGTTTGGATTCCTAAAGCTTTTAGTCTACCATCCCATCATTCAAGGGTGGTTTTCACTATAAGTAATGTTTTTTCTTTAGGCGGAGGTAAGAATTTACCTTTTTTTACTATGTTCCATCTGAATTTACTCTGACACAGAAACATCTATATTGATTCTGACACTTCTACATCCAACTCACAGATGTAACCTTGCTTTGATAAAAGAAATTATTCATATAACCCTTTTAGAAGTGTAGTTGTAGTCATTTGTTTTGGGCATGTCATTTTCGAGCCTGAAACCTGAAAAACAGGCTCGGGGCTTAACAGGTTAAGAAACATATCAAGAAAGTATCCAATACCATTAAATTCAACTTGCAAAATGTTAAACAAATCAGACCCTTCTTAACTGTCAATGCTGCAAAGTCATACCTCCACTGTATGATTCTATCCCACATTGAATACTGTTTTACAAACTGGTCGTTTGCTTGTGCCACAAACCTGAAACCAATAGAACAACTGTACAAGAGAGCTATCAAGGTGTTTGACAGAAAGCCACATTCATACCACCACTGTACCATCCTTGAAAAACACAATTTCTTAAGTTTTGACAATTTTAAGTCTTTTAAAAGTATGTGCTTTTTTTATAAATGTTGACATGGACTGCCCCCCCCCCCCTTAGGGGAATTCATCCACAAAAAACACACTGGAGGCTGCACTAGGTCAGAAACCAGAGGAGACTGTGAGGTCCACCGTAGACGGACCACTTTTGGACAAAATGTCCTCTCCATTAAAGGCAGCTCATTCTGGAATAGCCTCCCAACTGAGACACGGGATTGTTTCACTCTCAATAGTTTTAAAGGTCAACTCAAAGAATGGTTGAGAAACAAACAGACGTGCAATCACCGCTAAATGCACTTTAACACAGGGGTATCTCCTCTTGCACTTTATGTAGCTCTTGTATCTTCTCTTGCACTTTATGTAGCTCTTGTATCTTCTCTTCTCATATGTCGTTGCTGCTATATTGTTCTACCATGTCATAAATACTTGTGTGTGCTGCTCTTGCTCTTTTTGCATATCATGTATTTATTTTTTGCAATGTTTATAAATGTCATGTTCGTATGTCAGGGACTACGGATGGAAATTAGCTCAAAGCTCAAATCCGGCATATTTACACTTAAAGCATTATTTGTCTTAAGTGTTAATTAATGTGCATTGTCCCTATTCAAATAAACGATTAAATTAAATGATACATTTTGTGAATTAGTTCTGAATTCCTGAAAAAACTATCTTTTTAATATGTATAGCCTATGGTCAAAATGTTTTTCAAAAGATGTTTTATCCCCTCACAAAAAGGTCAATATAATTTCCCTTCAATAGTGTTGTTAGATTTGTTAACTTCACGGTCATCTGTATATTTTTCTTATCTAATGCTGGTTTATTTCTATTTCTATTTTGAGATGTTTCTATTTTAGAATTGTTTATTTCTACTCGTTTAATTTGTTAGTATGTGCAATGCCTTGTTTTGTTTTCTTCTGCTGCAACAAGAACATTTCCTAAATTGGGATTATTAAAGTAATAATAATAATAAATGATATTTATATAGCGCCTTTCAAGGGACCCAAGGTCGCTGTACATGGTGGACAAACAAAACAAACAGACAATCAAAGGGCACACAAAAAAATGAAGGAAGCCGGGGGACCAAGAAAGGGCTAGGGCAAAAGTACAACTTATCTTATCTTATTTAAGCTTTAAACTTGAAATACATTATCTGATACCACCTCAAACAAACAAAACACAATAAAAGGGTAGCTGGTGACACACACAAATAAAAAAAGACACATATCGGTCCTCTAAATGTGTGAGGCTTGTTTCATTCTGTGGACATGGTTTATATGTATCTATAAAACCTTATTATGGAAATCTGGCTCTTTGCATCCGGGATGATAGAAGCCTGGTGGATAATTACATTTATGGCTTAAACAAATATTTGCCTATGATTGTGGTCCAGACATTCAAAGGCCAAAATATTATGTCAGGAGGTTAGCAGACAGACATGTGGCCGGAAAACCATTTTGAATGCACTACCTCCAAATCAACAACATAGAAGAAATAGAAGCCAAACCTTACTGTAGGTCACAGTAGTGTTACCTTGATGTCAAATATACTTTCTTCACATATGACTACACACATACTGCTTTTAAACATGATATTAAAAAAGAACTGAGATTAACGGAAATAATGAGACAAATAACAGACAAAAAAGTGTAAGAGTAAAAGTTTAACGTACATTTCTTGGATGAGTATTTCCTAGACATTTTTCTATGGGGAAAATACAATTAAAAACAAACCTCTCTCTGTATGTATGAGCCTCTGCTAAGATTTATTCAGAGGTTCTTTTAACAAAAGCACCAAGCATGTGAGGGATCTTCAGAAGATATCCAACAAGAAACCATTTAGTATTACCCACGCTCCCCATGTTAGACATTTCTGGGTTAAAGCTCTGTTTACCTGAAATAAAACGTAACTGGATATTTCTAATTGCTGTTTTGTTTTAAATCCTTGAGTTAAACTTTATAAGATAATTTTTCAGTGGGAGGCTTTTGCTTTGTGCCAGGTGGATCTTATCAGGAGGCTGCTCCTAACCGTCCGGACCGTGACTCCCATGTCAGTATATCACCATGCGTCTTTACTAATAACAACAACGCCCACAGGCTAGAGATTGTGTTCCTACTTAAATACACACGCCGGAAGAGTGTTTGGTATTTTCCACAAGGTTTATCCAGTCAAAGATTGAACGGAAAAAATAAAAAATAAAATTGAATATTTATTTAATTGTATTAATTCATAATAGTATACAATTCTAATTTGCTTTACTTTTTCCATTGACTGTTTCAACTTTCAATTTTCCTTTTTTTTAGGTTTGTCAGTTTCATATTCTTTGTTTCTTTATAGATTTACATTTATCCCTGTATATGAATACTAAAATGTATGCATCTATGTGATTCTTTATTTTGGTGTCTATATACTCAGACTACTTCATTTACTGTTTTACAATTTCAGCGCTGCTCTGTTTTATAGAGTTTTTAAATGCATTGTATTGTGTGGCATATACAGTATCTACACTACACTACACTACATATGTATGATAGGGAACTATTTATTTGGACCATAGTTCCAAGTTATATTTATTTTAGCCTTTACTTCTCACTCTTCTCTCTTCTACATAACTCACTTTTTTACTTTTATTTTAAATCAGAAAACACCACAATGCACGTTAACAATGCTAAAATAAGTTATCCACGTTTTCTTTTCTTTTTTAAACTACTTTGACCTTGACTGCATCAACACTGAGAGCAGACTGAGGGGACTGACTTTCCCCAGCAGCAACCTCAACTCTTAGACTCTGGCTGACATCCAGGCTCCTGATAACATCCAGACACTTGAGCAGCAAGACACACCCCAAAGGAGAGTTTCTCTGCTAAATATTTGTACCTACTGATAAATGGTAAACAGTATTTTCATAATGTAAGAGGGCTGCATCTGCTGTACATTCCCCTTCTCTATAAAAAAGCATTTGTAGAGGACAATAGAGACTCACATTGATGAATAATGTGAGTGAAAGACGCAGCAACAACACACACGTATCAACATTGCAATACTTACAGCATACTTAAAGGGGAGGTTGTACTCGCGGTCGTTGGCGCGGAGCTTCCTCTCCAGCTCTGATTTGAAAAGACAGGGAAATCGTTATTAATTGACATTAATTTTCATTTCATAGGTTTATAATTTGTTTGTTACAAATTGTAAAGCACTTACACATCACTGTACCCTGTATGCCAAGGCAGGTTTGCCATCACTTACTGTACGGAGGCTCAGTCATTGGTACACGTTTATTTATAAAGCTTTGTTGGGTAAACTCCCGTATTATATCTGCTCTCTGATAACACAGAGAGTTGCAAGCAGCTATTGTCTGAGATTGCATGATGTAGTATTGTTAGATGTGCCAAGAGCAAGGACTGTCTTAGGTAAGACAGCTTTTATGTGCGCAGCTCCACTTGCTTGGAACAATCTTCAGCAAGAATTGAAACTGAGCAATCTCATTCCTGCATGTTTTTAAAGCTAGGCTAAATGAAATGCTCGTTGATACTATGGGTACTTGTAAATGTCTATAACTATGTAAATGTATCCTGTAAATATAATGTATGATGTCCTTTATTGTTTTATGTTTCATGTGGAACCTATATGCTGCAGGTCTCCCTTGTAAAAGAGATCTATGATCTCAATGGGACCAATCTGGTTAAATAAAGGTTTGAAATTAAATGAAATAATGTGACCCAAACTTTAAACCCCAGCAGCTTAGTCTCGCCATGAAGAGACCACAAAGTTTGCTATGTTACACACTGGTTTCAAATACTGATCTCAAATAACAGCATGTTTTACTTTGTAAAGCGCTCCTTTAGGTTAGCATTCCATCCCAAAAAGTAACACCTCTGATGTAACATTGTAGGAGAATACTTTGCTAGAAAATGTGTCCAATGAACAATATAAAACATTGATTAATTGTGTACTTAGTTGGTCTTTACTGTTATTGTTATGTCACTTAGTAAGCTGTCTTCAGTTTACTTAATGTTAGAAGAGGAGTTCCTTTAGGAAAAAAAAAGGTTAGGAACCATTACCCTAAGCTTGTCACATCACATGAACTTCCTCAGTAGAAGGATTTGCTGAGTTGTCATCAAAATGGTGTCCTTTTTTTCTAAGCACTTTATTCGAATCCTTAATAATTATCTTAACATAATAGTCACTGTAGTGACTGGGCATCTACATTTGCTGGGCATCTACATTTGCTGATAAAGTTCTTGTTGTAACATTGAAGTACACAACTACTGTCCTGAAGGGATTGCTGTTTCCAAAGTCAAGGATACAATTGTAACCATAATGATAATTAAAATTCATGCAGTTAAGGCTTACCTTGCTCTTTTTTCTTGACACAGTCCATGCCAAAAAAAGACATATTCTCTTCTTCCTACTGCTATCTCTCCATCATACTGGTCTGTGAAGAAGGAGAGACAGCTGTTACATTGTGAGGAAGCTTAAGGATAAATCTGAGTCAACTCATATCTTATTCCACACACACACACACACACACACACACACACACACACACACACACACACACACACACACACACCACACACACACACACACACACACACACACCACACACACACACACACACACACACACACACACACACACACACACACACACACACACACACACACACACACACACACACACACACACCAGCGTGTGCTTTGTATGCACACACACACTCTCCTGAAAACTAGAGAGTGTAAACATCATTCCTGTTGAAATAAGAATGACTTAATGCCCAGCAGCTGCCAGCAGGAAATGTTTTCCATAATGCTTTTCTATTATGGTAATCATTGTCATGGCCTTTTAAACAACAGTTAATGGAGCTCTTAGGTTGCAACAACATCTTTTCAAAGAAATACATTTTATTCAAGACTGGAATAGTTTAGTAAATGATAGAGATATGTTATATATATCTCAAAGTACATGGTCTCCTTTAAACCTAGATGGTTGAGTCTTAAAGGTGATCTGTTAGTGGTGATGAGTTTATGGTTTCAATCACTTGCTTCAGGACTTCTTCAACACAGCATAATGTTTATTTAGTAAATGTTTCCCCACTTCAGAGAAAAATAGACAATAAATCAGGGAAAACTTTAGGGCGTGGCTACCTTAATATTTACAGTTTAAAACTACAGCGTTTTTCTGGTCGGGTGTTGTCCACATTGTCGTCTAAGAAATGCAACCCTTCCGTGATGTCCTTTAATGAAAGTTTTTAATAACATTTTGGTTGCTTAAAATAATCTTGATTAGTATTTGGTTATACTTCGCCCCACCCTTTCAGAAGATAGAATACCAAACTGGTGATGTCTCAGTGATTATGTCCACTTTTATATACAGTTTATGCCGTTGAGACACAAGTGTGTATATTTAGGGAACATGCTGAACTAACAGCCACAAGGAATCAGCAAATGTCTAAAGATAAAAAGAGGAAGGAAAGCCTCAACATTGTTTTAAAGTCCAGTTTACATCAACTCCGATACATGGCTATTCATCTGCCTTCCTTTCCCACTTTTGGATACAAAAGCTCTTACTTCAGCTTTGCATCAGCCCTCCAGCCTCTTAATGTTTTTCCCATGTAGGGCAGAGTGACTCAGAGGGAGGCTCCTCTCTCAGGCCAGACATCGTTCAGATATCTGCTCCTTCTGACAGTAAGAGCTCAAAATCAAGAGCCAAGTCTGGCCCTGCCGTCTGTCTCACTGAGTGATGGCGAGACCCAAAAGTGGCTGCTGTCTGTTGCAGTTATTTTAGTGGCTTCCCTCTCATAGCCCTGACACACTAATGGCGCATTTCCACTACACGGTCGGCCTCGGCCACACTCGGTACGGCTCGGTACGGCTTGGCCGCGTTGGGCCTTAACAGGGCCGACTCACTTCATGCTGCGCTTCCATTACAGTTTAGGAACTGGGGTAGTTACTATAGTAACGCAGTGTAGGCGGAGCCGTGACGTCATCTTCAATGAGAAATCCAGAAACACAACACAGCCGTTAGCTGTTAGCACTCAGAGCTCACAGCTCCTTATATATGTTCAGAAACTCGACAAAAGTTAAACAAGTACACACCACAGACTGCCTGTGTCATGGTGAATACAGTCGCTGCTTTATTTATGTCTGTATAGGCCGTTGTTGTGAGTGTGGACGGTCGGGGCATATACTGCGTTAGCTTAGCCAATCTCCATCTAGAAAAACACGAATTTTAAAAGGTTTTCCGCCTGCCGTCTGTCTGCAGACTTGACAAAGCATTAATTCATGGTTTTTACTAACCGGTATCAGTATGTTGTTACTTCGGCATCATTTTGAAACGTGTATTACAATTAAATCACGGTCAAATATGTCCATCTTGTTGTAGTTCTAGCCCTCTTGCCAGCGCTCCTCTCTCTAGTTTAGCATACTCAGCCCGACTCAGCCCTGTTTGTTGGCCCCGATAGAACCACAATTTTCTAGGGCCAGAAAAGAGGGGAAAAAGTGGCCCCGCGCCGTGCCGCGCCGGAACGAGGCCTAGTGGAAGCACAACCAAAAAAGGGGACGGCACGACACGGCACGCTTAAAGCGAGCTACGCGCTGCAATGGAAATGCGCCATAAGCTAACAATCATAAGTAGGATCCTGTAGTTACAGTGAGCTTCACACCAAGGCTCTTTATCAGCATAGAAGCTGAATCTAAAACGGTTCCAAGCCAATGGTTCCAAACAAGGTTCTCTGGGGTTGCAAACTATGTGGTGGAAAGTAACTTTGTTTAATCAAGAACCGTACTTTAGTACAATTTAGTCCAGTACTTCAATAAATCACTTTCATTTTCTGCCACTTCATACAACCAAAAAGGTAAATTGTGTACTCTGCTATGCTATAAACTATTCACTCTCAGGTATTTGAGGTATTTGGAAGTATTTAGAATTGGGCAAACATTGGTTACACATAAAAACAGATCATTTAACATAATAAAAAAATTGAACTCCGGACCCTCTCTGCATTATGGGTACTTAAAGGGACTTTTCCTAATAACATTTTACTTTTACTTAAGCAACACTTTGAATTCAGGACTTTTGCTTATAATGGAATATATTTTTTTTCTGTGGTGTTTCTATCATTTTGTAAAGGAGCAGGAATATTTTTTTTTTCTGCTCTTACTGTAACCATTGCAAATATACTGTATGTTGAAACAAAATACAGATATATGTTACGAGAAAACAAGTTTTTGTTTAACAGCATTCAGTAGAGAAAAGGGCTTAATTGAGTACAAATGATGATTTGTGTGTGTGTGTGTGTGCCCTCTGCCAATGTTGAGGTTTGCCGAACAGGAAGTGGTAGATTTTAAACGCTACCAAGGTGACGTCAACGCTTAAGCTATAAATATCAACCACATGTGTTTGTTGAAGAATGTGTGAGTTCTTACAGGAATGACAAGGCTTTAGCACACACACACACACACACACACACACACACACACACACACACACACACACACACACACACACACACACACACACACACACACAACACACACCACACACACACACACACACACACACACACACACACACACACACACACACACACACACACACACACACCAGCGTGTGCTTTGTATGCAGCATTTTTGTGTGTTTCAATCTGTGTCCACATGTTTGGGGGGTTGTGTGCTGACTAACATGCAAACAAATGAACACAACTAAATATAGAGTGGATGTGTGATTTTATGTCTTCACTTCTCTCACTCACTATTTCCCTTTTTAAGGGTACAACACAACCGCCCACCACATGTCCACTGTTTGACAATGTCCCACCATAAAGGGCCCAAAGCAAACAGTCCCCCTATCCATTCAGTCTAAATGAACCAGCCTGTTTATTCTGCCAAACAGAGTCATGTGACACAGAGGGGCGTCTGCAGCCGTGTTTAGAGGGAAAAAGGTGACATTTAAACTCACTGCAGTCATCATGAAGATTTAAAGAGGCTTTAATTTGAATGTCAGATTGTGTTGGGGATTAGTTGGAGTTTCACACTCTGAATTTTTGGCTGATACTGAGACTTTCCAGGCTTTTTTACAGCGCTGACGCACCACAGAGACAAAACTGGTTCCAGAGAATTAGTTCAAGAGTTATTGAGAACACAGCTCTCAAATAAAGTCATTATTATTGGTAGTTGTAGTATTTCTTGTGTTGGTGGACCTTTTTCCACCCGAATCTAATTAGGGTAGGTTAAAGGGTAAAGTTGATGTTATTTAATGATCAATAATCAAAACAAACTCCACTATAATGTATTTTTTTTAGGGCTGTCAAGTTAACGCGTTAATAACGCAATTTTTAATAAAAATAAAAAATTCTCCCAGCGCAGCGCCCCTCCAGATCTGGCGCCCTAGGCGACCGCCTAGTTCGCCAGTGCCTAGGGCCGGCCCTGACGGCAGTGGTGGATAAAGCTTACTAGTGTGAAAGTATTGATACGACTTTGTTTCTGTATCAAGTTGTGGAAACTCTAGCAAATCTGGATTCAATGGCTACGTCATGGTCTTGTGACAACCTGTCCTGTCTGTCAGTCTGTTGGTCGGTCTGCCTTTTACTTACATTTTAGAGTGCAGGCAACAAACACTGGAATTAATGCTATTCCAAGCAAACAAAGGTGGGTAACAGTATCCCAGTGTGACAGCCACCTGTGACTGGCATAACAGATCAGAGGTCAATCAGATGAATGGGTGTCTTGTCCCATTACTGATCTCTGGTTTCTCAAACTGAACAGAGCTCTATTATCAAAACCAACCGCCTGTTTGCTGCTAAAAGAAACAAAAATGTTCTCTTAGTGTGAGCCTGTGTGTGTGTTTTATGTATGGTAAGTAATTTTATATCACAATATGAATATCAATTATTATATGATACATTTTCTGGAAATTCAATAAAGATTTACAGTTAGAATAAAGTAGAATAAGAGACCATCTTAAGATAATTGTGTATCCTTCAAAAACCCAAGTTGAGTCTTGAATATAAATACAAGTCCGATAATGTTAAAATATATGTTTTTAAACATGTTAAGGGCCCAACGTGTGTTCTTTCAATAAAGAGTAACCATCAATAAAAGCTTTGTTTTATCTCCCTTGAAAGATGCTCAGCCCCACCTTAAGAGTCCATCTGAAATCCAACTTGACATTTGCACAAATGTCTGCTCTTTTAAAAAATTACACCAATACAAAGATACACAAGTCCCCATGAGAAATAAGAGAACAGTTCTCACAGCATTCCACTGTTTGACCTGAACAAAGCTACATACAGTATACTTAAAGGTCCCATGTCATGCATTTCCAGATAACCCGTCCCCTTGTGTGTTATGAAGGTTTTTATGCATGTAAACGGTCTGCAAAGTCCCAAACCCTCAAAGTACACCCTGTAGCGAGTAAAACTCTAACACAGAAAAG